TCGATCCCTGGCCCTAGTTGGAGTCAGTGCAGGAGACAATCAAGCAATGTTTCTCTCTCACATTGATGTTTTTCTCTCTGTGTCTCTCCCCATCCCTCCCACTCTCTCAAAAAATCAATGGAAAAATATCCTTGGGTGAGGATTAACGAAAAAGTCTCTTATATAAAAGGCCTGTGGCCACGCCGTAATGCTCTCACAGCCAACCTAGTAGGCTGTCACGGGGGGTGGGGGGGGCTGTGCGGCAATGGGCGGGGCAGCTGCACATTATTTCATGTGCACTGGGCCTCTAGTAATATATCTTTAAGAATATTTTAATGTTATTTTTATAAAAACATTTATATTAACATGCAATGGGTACAATGGGCTTATTATTTTTTAATGAATCAAGGAAAGATTTTTGAATCTTCTGTTTCAATTTTTAATAAGGTAAATATCAATATATAACTTACATAAACACAAGTTCTTTTACTTCCATAATAATTTTTAGAAGTATAAAGGGATCATGAAACCAAAAAGTTCAAGAACTACTGGCTTATGACAAAAACTCATAAACCAGTCAGGGTTACTCCTGATCATTACAGTCCCAAATTCCAAAACCTTCTCAAATCTGTCCTGTCCCAGCTTCCACCCTCTGGTTCTACTATTGCTGCTGCCACCATCAACCTTGGAGGGAGGGGGTCTTAACCTTCCAGCCTATTCCAAGGGAATGAGCCTCTCTTACCTCAGCAGAGCATGCTAGACAGTTCCCTTCCTGTTTTCAAAAAACTCTCACTTCGCCGAAACTGGTTTGGCTCAGTGGATAGAGCGTTGGTCTGCGGACTGGGGGGTCCCAGGTTCGGTTCTGGTCAAGGGCATGTACATTGATTGCGGGCACATCCCCGGTAGGGGGTGTGCAGGAGGCAGCTGGTTGATGTTTCTCTCTCATGGATGTTTCTAGCTCTCTATCCCTCTCCCTTCCTCTCTGTAAAAACATCAAAATATATTTAAAAAACAAAAACAAAAAACTCTCCTTCTATAAAACCGTGATTGTGGGTGGAGTGACTAAGCACGTTTGTTTTATCTTTCTAATACTTAAGAGGGGAGAAATAAGATGTCTTTAAGCATTTTCTGACAGTTTCACCTTCTGTCTTTGTGACTCGACCTATAATCGGAAAAACCAAAAGTTCTAGACAAACACATCATCTTTTTGCTTGTGGCCCAAGGCAGAATAGAACAGGGCCAGTGGTTTATCCTAAATGGTGTGGAAGGACCGTCCTCCCATCACTCAAATCATACTATTGCTCCCTGTCTTTAATAATACCTGCTCCTCACTTTTGGGATAATTTCCAAGTTCCTAGTCCTATGCTGAAATTTCTTTCTACCTTCTCTCTCAGTGATTGGCCACCCTATCTAAAATCACACACACACACACACACACACACACACACACACACACACACACTCCATATTCTTCTTCCTGCTTTATATTTTCTCCTTAGAACTTAACATAAAACAAACTTTATATTTTATTTATTTGTTTACTGTCTGACTGCAGTATTAGAGTGGAACAATCAAAAGGCAGAAGTTTTTGTCTGCTGTGTTCACTGCTATATACCCAGCACCTAGACCTGTGCCCTGCACAAAATAAATTATTTGTTGAATGAATGAATGAATGAATGAACAAGCTAGGGGTTCCTAGCCTGTCACATTCTGCAACTCAGTCCTGCATTCTCTACCATAGAAACTTCAAAGGCCTCTCACCCATTCCTGACTCCAAACTCTCCCCAGGGCAATTCCAGAAACTTGAAATGCCATTTCCCAATCAAACCATCAAGCCCCTTGCCCTCCCTGCCCCCCCCCCCCCCAGTTGTCTGTTTAAATCAGGCTCCAAGTCTATCAAGTTGATCTTATTACTCTCATATCTCCCATCATCTCCATCGACACTATTGTTACCTTGGTTCAAGCTACCATCAGTCCTGCCTGGGATTTACTGAAACAGCTCACTAATTTCCAGTCTCACACCCTTCTGACACAGTCCCTGGAACTAAAAGCTTTTCTAACATAGCAATCAGATCACTTAAGCCTCCTGCATAAAACTTATCAGTGGCTCCCCATTTCCTATAGGACTGAATCAAAACTCCTTCCCAAGTAACCCACAATCTTCCTTGTCATAATGAACTACTTCCAAATGTCCAAGAAACACAACCTCAAACCTTTGCCCATACTATTCCCACTGCACCAAATGTTCTCCTTCTATCTACCTGGAGAGCCAGTGATCAATTTCAGCTTAACAATAACCCACAACCTTCGGACCAACTAGTATCCAGTGATCAATTTCAAAACTCACCCCAAGTTCATGTACCTCCCTACAGTGTTCCTGACTCTACATACTCTACAACATTTATAACTGTGAGCTCAAGGAGGAGAGGAACTGTCATGACTCCATCTGTGCATCCTCAGGGCCAGGTGCATTGTAAGAGCAATAAAGATTTCCAAGGAAATCCAAGGAGTGAGTGAATATGCATAAATAATTAAAGTCCACCTCCCACATGGCCTGTTCAGATAAAATAGAGGAGAAGCTTCCTTTCATGCTGCTAATTCTGGAATCCGAAGTTTACTCTACCCAAGTTCATTTCTACAGAGCCCACTACTGAGTATTTTTAACCCCATATTCTGAAAAGATGTGAGAGGGAAAGGCTAATGCCCAACATTGTATAAAAATATAAATATCTACCACAAATCCAAAGGCAGGCTAATAGAAATCTTACATATATAACCTTAATCCCATGTATGAAAAGTGTTTTCTACACACCATGTGATCATCTCAATTTGGCAGATTTGAACGTGCAATTTCAAAAAAGGGCAGGAAGTTATGTAGACATCCTCTATTAGTGGAGTCCTGTCCACAAAGATTTTCAAAATAAGCTGAATACAGCAAAATTCATGATCTCAGAGAAACAGTTAAAGGAGGGAATACCATGTAAAGAAATCACTGGTTTAGCTAAGCCTCGTCTTTCCCTACCTTCCATCCAGTACTAAAACTTTTCCATATAAATATATAATACACACAATTTAGAGAAAAGGGGAATTTACCAAATTTATATATACTATTTGAAGTTTTTAAAAAATCAACAAACCCATTCTAGACTTTTTTGCCTTTGTCTTTAGACTCTTGGTCCGTATGTTGAAAAATAAATAACCCATAAATTAACAAAAAATTTTTGTTCATTTAGGCACTGCCAAAAATTCAAAGACTTGGCAATTTCCAGACTTAATGATTACTTAATTAAAACTTAATGATTACACCTGTTTTTATTTTTGAAATTCAAGTAATACTCTGTTCAAAGTATCACTGACAGAACCGCTATCATTGTCATACTTAATTTTACATAGTATAGTATAGCACAGCTCCATTCTCTGGAATCTATCCCACTATTTCTGAGGACAGAGCCTAAAGATGCCAAAATGTCTAGCAGTAATTACATCTGCACTCTACTCCACTGGCACCTTTAGAGTTGAGAGCAAGAGCCACACTCCTACAGGGAAAAACACTTGTCATGGAAGAATCTCTCAAGTGAACTGTGAAATGTACTTTCTGATCTCATCAATGTAGCATTTAAAACTCTCTAAGTAGAGGTAATTATCAGGTGAAAATGTTCTTCTACATTATTATTCAAGTACTAGCAAAATTACCTACAGGACTGCCCAAGAAATACAACTTCTAATAAACTTCTAATAAAGAAAAATCAGGAAAGGGATAAAAGCACCCTCACCAGATAATCAATAAGTAAATGATGTGGGGAACTCTGATCACAAGCAGAGAAAGAAAATATCTTTGAGCTTATAGGATTATCTGAAGGCTGACAACCTATGTACTTCAAACTCAACCATGTACTGTCTCTGATTACTTCTCCCATCTCTGATTTGAGCTGTTACTTCTCCTTCTGAGAATTCCCTTTCCTGGGGCTTTTCACTGTGTAATTATGCAACATGTGTGGGCACTATACAACATATGATATAGCTTTACTAATTTAGGATTTTAAAAATCAATGTGATTGTCTCTACATACTACCTAAGTAGATGTTCCTTCAATCTGGAAGATTTTAGTAAAACATAAGGACTATTTTTTTAAAGTGTTATTTAGAATCCTTACTTTTGTTCCCACTTACTTAAATATCACTTCCTAGACTTCAAATATTTTTGTCCTATAGGAAAATAATAAAATTAAAGAAGCCCAGTGAAAACATCAAGAATAGCAGTAAGGAACTTAAAAGTTGGACAAGGGACCAGATACTGAGGGGCTGGAGGTAGGGGGTCTAAATATTGTTCTGAGCGCACTGCTCACTTGCAAATCACCTGGTGGTTTGAGAAGTAAAACATTCTAAAATACTGCAGTCTACATGATAATACAAATCCATGATAAGCATCGTTAAATAAAGTTGAAAGCTGAAAATGCAATTTAAAAAAAAAGAGAGAGAGAGACGTAGGCAAAAGCAGTGTACCCTTAGGGGTACATGATTCCATCTAATTTTCAGAGTCCTACAGGGCTGAGCTGACTTCCTTGTCCCAGCAAAGGGAGGCCTGGATAGGAGAAATGTCTTATTCTTCACGTTGTTGGAAAAGGGCACAAAAAAACGTTTTAATGGGACTTACGGGTGACCAAATGAAATGCAAAGGCAACTTCTTAAAGTGCTTCAAAGTTCTGACAGCAGCGCTTCGGTATCCTGACATTCATCAGGCCTGCCCCCAGAATTTCAGAAATATTAACAGCCAACTGGCAAGGAGAAACATTTTCAAAGTTCTACTTCCTTCTATGGTCTCACCTAGGTCAGCACTGCCACAGTGTGAACAAGATCTGTGATATTTGACTCATTGGAGGAAAAGTCCTATTGGCTCTGAGATGCCCCCACAGTAAGGTACCCAGAGACAGATACTGATGCTGGAAAGAGATTGGTTTGTGTTTTTTTAAACACAAAAACAGGATTAGGGAGGGAAATGACTAGGCAAAGAAATGCACGTACCTTTCAACTGGTCAACAACAACGCTCGGGCCTAGGCGTTCAGTAACTCGCCCATCCTCCATTTCATACCGACCATCCAGGTATTTTGCAGTGGCCTCAGAAATGTGAACCTTGCCAGCCACGCCCAGCTGCTCCATGAGATTGGCCAGGTTCACGTCATTGGACCAAACGTCGAATTTAAACCTCCTCATGCCCAAGATGCCACATAAGACAGTCCCCGTGTGAACCCCGACACGCATGTTCACCATTTCTTTCTTCTCCTGGCAGAAGTGCTCGATGGCTTTTATCATGCCCAAGCCCATTTCGATGCAGCAGTAGGCATGGTCGGCCCGGGGCTCGGGGCACCCTGCCACACAGTAGTAGCAGTCTCCCAGGGTGCTGATTTTCTCACACTTGGTCTCTTCACATAACCGGTCGAAGCGACCAAACAGATCGTTGAGGAGACCCACCAGAGCATGAGCAGACTTGTTGGCACTCATCTTGGTGAAGCCCACAATGTCTGCAAACAAGATACTGACCTCTTCAATCTGCTGCATCTTAAACGGGCGGAATGCGATCGGCGCTTTCTGTATGGAAGACTTTTTCTTCCTGTTCTTGGGGCTGGAGGTAGCGTGCCTTTTCACAGAATTCTCACTCTCCTCGTCCCCCTGTTTCATCAAGTCATCAGCTATGATTCTTGGCATCACAGAATGAATCATCCTCTCTTTCAGGGCTTTTTCCACTTCCAGATCCTTCCCATGCATAATTGACTGTCCCACCTTGAGGAAGGTGCTCCTGGATCTCACCTGGGACATGATGAAGAGGTGGATCCCAATGGCGTGAATGCAGACATGGAGTAGGGCTCGGCTCAGCAGCTCCCAGTGCCGGGCCCCTGCTTCGGGGGAGGGGAAACAGTCTTCATCTTGGAAATGATAACCAAAGGTCTCAAAAAGAACAGAGTATGCCACTCCCAAAAACAAGCTCAAGTACAAAGGTAAGTGCATGACGGTGTAGAGCAAAAAGAGCACTTCAATGCACATGGAAAAGCTCCCCACTTGAGATAAGCAAGTGTCTGTGGACTTAGCTGCGGGAGTATGATTGGAGCTGTCAGCACGTCCTGAGAGAGGCGTCAGAACCTGAAACTGGGCAGCCAGGGTCAGAGTGAACACCAGGAGGGTGAAAACCAGCGAGGTCCACACATAACGTCGGGCATACAGCTTGGTGAAGGTAAACAGGAAAAAGCCCACACACACCACGAGGAAGCACAGAGCAGGGGCTACCATGACAATCAGTTTGGATCTCATGTGGACCCCGAAATAGATGCTCCAGAGCAGGCAGGCAAAGCCGATGTAGAACAGCGCGTACCGGAAGCGGCGCTGGGTTTGCGGGAAGCAGCGCTCCAGACAAGCCTCCTCCAGGTTCACCGAGTCGAACTTGGGGTCCCACCAGCGGCTGGAGGCCCTCTCGAACAGCTGGGGCAGCTTCTTGTGCCTGCGCAGGCGGCCTCCGGCGCCCACTCTCCGGGGAACACCCCCGGAGTCCCCGGAGCTGCTACAGCTGGAGGAGATGCTGTACTTGCAGTGTTTGGGATGAATGTTGGACGACAGCTGCTTGGGGTTGATTTTGACCCTCACGCTGTTGCTGTCTCCGCTGGAGTCGCAACTCACTTCGGTGCTGTGGTGCTGCAGCAGCTGCTGGTGGGGCGGGGAAGCCATGTTGCCGCGCGCTCGCAGCCGCCCCCGGCGGGGATCGCCGCTACCTGTCAGTGGGACAAGCAGAGTTAGGCTGGCACTGGTGCCCATCCAGGTACGCGCACCTTAAGGCCACCAGCTCTCTCCATTGCCTAAGGGGCGGCCCCAGCGGTCTCCTCGCAAAGGCATCACATGCCCACAAACCTGAGGTGAAGTCTAATCAGCGCTTCCACCGACCCACCTCCGGGCCGACCCCAGCCCCCCCCGGTGCCGCCCGGAAAGCCCGGGGTCCGCACGGCGGCGTCCGCCGAGTCCGCGGCACCGCCCGAGCCCGCGGCGTGTCCCCTCGCTCACCCTCGCCTGCTGTGCCCCCCGCGGCGGCGGAGGGGAGTCCGGCCCGAGCTCTCTCACGCCGCCGGCCGCTCCGGCAAACGCGGCTCCCCGGGCGGCGGCGGCGGCGGGCCCCTCATGCTGCGCGGAGCGCGGCGCCTCCGCTGCGTCAGGCCGCCGGCCGGACCCCTCTGTCCCGCCCGCGCCCGGCGGCCCCGCGGGAGGGAGGCGGGCGGCTAGTGTGCGGAGCCCGCGGCGCTTCGGCCGCCCCCGTCAGCGCGACCCGCCCAGAGAGGGCTCCTGCCGGCCGCTCCCGAGGCCGACCCCGCGCGCGGGGATGCCCGGGGCCCGGGAGACGCCCGGCAGCGGAGGCAGGCAGGGCGCGGGCCCCTCCGCCGGCGGCCCGTGCGCGGCACTGCCGCAGAGCCCGCTCCCGCGACGCCGCCGGCTCGGGACGCCGGCCCGGGGCAGCCTCCCGAGGGAGCTAGAGATGCCGGCGCGGCCGCGGCCACCGCCACTGCCGAGCCCCACGGGGCCGCCGCCTCATGTCGGAAGAGCCGCCGCCTCCGACCCCCTCCCCGCCCCCTCCCGCTGTCACTGACAGACTCCCGCCCGCGCCGCCCCTCGCCCGCCGCAGCGCGCACGCGCGGTCCGCGCTCGCCGCCGCCAGCTTCGAAGACGCGCACGGTGCGCGCGCCGGTGGACGGGGCTGGCGGGGCCCGGGGGCGGGGGCAGCGCGGGCTGCGGCTCCGCCCTCCGCCTGGGGCAGCGCCGGGCCCGCGGCGAACACCGCGGTGCCGCTGGGGCTGGCCCGCCCGCCCCGGGAGCTGGCTAGGGGACCACCTCTCCCCGCGGGTCGGTCCCCACATCCGCTCGGGGAAACCTAGGAGGCCTGCTAGTTAAGGAACAGCTGGAGTGCGACGCTGAGGAAATGTAAATGTTTGCCCTCCCACTCGGCACACCTTTTTTATAAATAGAAGTTTGCAACTACTGTATTTGCCAACCCTAAAGGGAGGCGCCCCTTTCCCTATAAGCAATGAGCACATGCCCTCCCCCCAGCACTAGCCCCTTCCTGAGCAGGCTCCCCGTAGACCCAGCCTCCGGTGGACAGATGGGCAGGTCTCCAGGGGCCATGGTTGCCCCTAGAAAATGGGTGCCACTGAAAACCAGGTTCTCCACCCCCAGAGATTCCCTTCGCATCCTTGGGTCATCTCTCCCTCCTCTTAAACAACTGTTTTTCCTTTTCCACAAATGAAACTTTCGAAGCAATCTGCTACCCAGTCGAGTCCTACAAGTGGCCTCCATTAGCATTGTCTGCACCATGTAAATGCAGTCCTATACTCCCCAGTGTGCCAATCCTGGCTCTTCTCCCCACACCTCACAGTGCTTCCTGCCAGTCACAGGGGTCTCCTCCCTCTTTCCCCCATCCCCCAGACGTAGCCCACCCCAGGTTTCACTGTTGAATTAGAAAATAAAGTAAAATGTGGTCTGTCCACAGAATATTCTTCATACATAAGAATAAATAAAGTACTGCCAAAACCGGTTTGGCTCAGTGGATAGAGCGTCGGCATGCAGAGTGAAAGGTCCCAGGTTCGATTCCGGTCAAGGGCATGTGCCTTGATTGCGGGCACATCCCCAGCAGGGTGTGTGCAGGAGGCAGCTGATCGATGATTCTCTCTCATCGATGTTTCTGACTCTCTATCCCTCTCTCTTCCTCTCTGTAAAAAATCAATAAAATATATTTTAAAAAAGAATGAATAAAGTACTGATTCAAGCTGCAACCCAGATGAACCTTGAAAACATGATGCTTAGTGAAAACAGCCAGTGAGGAAATTCCATTTATATGCAATGTTCAAAACAGGCAATTTCATAGAGACAGAAAGCAGATTAGTGATTGCCAGGGTCTGAGGGATGGGCATGGGGAGCAACTGCTAATGGGTAAGGGATTTTGGGGCGTGGAAATGTTCTGGGTGAGGTAGATATACAACACTATAAATGTACTAAATATCATTTTAAAATGGTCTAAATGGCAAGTTTTTATGTTACGTGTATTTATTGCAATAAAGGAAAAAATCAAAACAAAATATAACATCACTACTGTGGTATTTCTGCGTAAAGTTCACAGCCTCAATCTAATCATAAGAAAACATCAAGCTAACCAAACTGGAGAACTATTTCTTCCAAGAAATTGGCCTGTACTCACCAAGAATGTCAAGGTCATGAGAGACAAAGACTGAGAACTGTCACAACTTGAAGAAAATTAAGGAAAACAACAACTAAATGGAGTACAGGATTCTGATTTGAAACTTGGAACAGAAAAGGACAAAGGAATAAAATCTGCAGTTTAATTAATAGCATTGTGCCAGTGTTAATTTCCTGGTGGTTTTTTTTTTTTTATCACTGTACTGTAATTATGTATGCTGTTAACATTAGGGAAAGCTTGGTTATAAAGTATAAGGGAAACTAGTGTTTTTGCAACTTTAAGTCTAAAACTGTTTCAAAATTTTTTAGAAAGTTAAAAATAAAAACAAACTTTTATTGCATCAACTGTGAGTCAGGTATCCTCGCGTATTCCATGTTTACCGATAAAGAAACTGAGGTTCAGGAAAGTGCATTGCCAAGCCAGTAAGTGAAATAATAGTAAACCACTGGACGCTTTCACTTGTGATCTAGTTGGTCCTTACCACAACCCTCTGAGGTAGATACTATTGTTCCTAGTTTAGAGATGTGAAACCAGAGGTTGAAGAGTGACGTGCCCACAGAGACACATAAAGGCTAGGGACAGAGCTGATTCAAAACTGGATCATACTCCTACAGCCACAACTCTCTCAATGGCCTGGGCACCACCCTTTGTAAGCCTTGTGGTGGTCCTTCATGTATCTCACTGTCTTCTACTTTCTCGACAGGAAGCCCTTGGAGACAGCTCTTATAGTTTACATTCCCCCTCTTAATGCAACCCTGCACGCCCCATTTCATGGTTTTCCTCTATTCTGAGAGATGGCCTCTCTACACTTTAACTCCCCTCCCCAAATCATTTCAGTCCACCTGTCCTTTGTAGTGACTTAGCATTTACATATTAATTAGTCATCAGGTTTTTAGACACAGGTAGTGATGCACCCCACACCCTCTCTCTTGTATGTTTTCTGGAAGCAGTTGGGCTACATTCCCAACTGTTGAAACCTATAAACTGCCAGAGCTTCCTTCATCTCCAGGTTAGAGCATGAGTCATTCCATAACCCTGAGATGGAGGACCATGTGCCTGGCACTGTGCATCCGGCCCTGGGTACATAATCATATACAAAGGAAGATCATTACAGTCCAAGACCTGGTGGGGAATCACTGGAGAGTCCTGGATCTCTTCTCCTTCACCCCCAGGAAGTATAAAGGTACCAGACACGGGACAAATGTAACTGCCTTCTCCAACCATCCAACTCAGGCTGCTGCCAGATTTGTAGGGTTTCCTCTCCCTGTGCACAGATCTTCCACCAGACACAGCACAAATCAGAATGTATCCATACAAACTCAAGCAAAGGCTCTCCAAAAGCTTCACTGGCCTCACAGGAAGGTTCATCCCAACAATGAATCAATCACTGAGGCTTGGGCCAGTGGAAGTCATCTAGGGTGACAACAAGATTCCCTTTGAGATAAGTAGCTTGGAAACCACCTCCTCCCACCCCCCCTGAGCTACACAGAGGCACATTCAAACGCACACCGCAGTATAAATGCATTGGAACAGGCAATCACCTTATAAATCCTAATTCAAGTATCTTGAGTTTATAAAATACTTTACAGTTTGCAAGAGTCTTATACCTATACTCCTTCCTTTGATTCTCACAATAGTGCTGCGAAGTGCAGGGACAAGACACAATGGCCCCCTCACCCAGGGGCAGGCATCGGAGGTCACAGAGCCAGTCCATGGCAGAAGTGCTCAAGAATCCCTGGTTTCCCAGCCTGCCATTCTCTCTGTTCCACCCTGATGGTAATAACTCCCACTATGGTCTCTATCTTCTGAGGAAACCAAAGCTGAGCTAACCAATACTACAGGGAATATCTGAACTTAGGTGAGTCCCTGAATGCCACCTCCTAACTCAGCTGCACTCAATTTACTCCTGTTCCATCCAGCCCCTCCCTCATTGGCAGTGGGTCCCTGGCACATACAAGGGGCTGCGCAGCCAGGCCCGGGCTGGCCAGAGTCAGGATCTCAATCCAAGGTAGGGCCAGTCTTGCATCCTGGATCCCACACCCATATTAGGGGATGTGTTACTTTGCTGATGTGCTGTAAAAATTATCACTAATTTTGTGGATTAAGACAACAGAAATTTATTGTCTCACAGTCCAAGGTCAAGGTGTCAGCAGGGCTGTGCTCCTTCTAAAGGCTCTAGGGGAGGATACATCCTTGTCTCTTACAGCTTCTGGGGACTCCTAGCAGTCCTTAACTGGGGGCCTGCATGGCTTCAATCTCTGCCTCCATCCTCACATAGCCTCCTCTATCTCAGAATCTCTAATCTCTCTATGACTCATTATCTTTTTTTTAATATGTATTTTTAGCTGAAACCGGTTTGGCTCAGTGGATAGAGTGTTGGCCTGAGGACTGAAAGGTCTCAGGTTCGATTCCGGTCAAGGGCAAGTATCTTGGTTGCGGACACATCCTCAGTAGGGGGTGTGCATGAGGCAGCTGATCGATGTTTCTAACT